CAGTGCTATTGCAAGGATGCAGTGATATGAGTAAACCCCCACCTGCCTAAGCCAGGCCTCGACCCCTGACCCGATGCTCTCTGCACAAGAGCGTCAACCATTACACCACTAAGGCAGTGTTTGTCATCCAGCTTTCAGCGCTGTATTTTCATAGCTTACTAGCACTCACACTTGTTACATGATGAGCTGATGAGCCGTCATCACTAGTGAATAGTGAAGCTCAATGCAAGTATTAGTCCTTCTGCTTCGTTTCGTTAACTGATGTTTTTCCCTAGCTCCGCCTACAATTAGCATCCTTGTGATAACATTCGTTGTTCCGCTTAGTTCAGTTAGTTCCTTTGTATGAAATTACCTCTATGTACGCATTAAATACGCCGCTACCCCTCCTTTCCCATCCCAGCCTGATTACACACCAGCAAATCGAACCCGTTTCGCTAAGAGCAAAGTGCGTGAGAGGCCGACGGACGCAGGCGGTCCCAAGAGGAAAATCGACCAGCAGTATTGCAAGGCAACAACTCTGTCTAATGCTTCAGTGCTAAACTTCGTCTGTTCTTCGAGTTCTATTCGTAAGAGGCAAAATCTTGTGTGCTAAGTTTTTATCAGACGTCTATCCCAGCGATCTAGTTTATTGCACTTGTGGGGAACATTTGTTGACGTACGTTTGTTGATCGCGCTGATGACTAAGTCTTTTTTCATTATTGTGAAAGATATCTTCTGATATGATCATGATTTCAATTCATGCTGATTATAAGGGACGTGTCGTCTCCTCGAGCGAGTATGCTTTCCTAATCACATCTCTATGTTATCGTTTCCTACGAGTTTTAGTTCTGCAAGAGTTGAAACCTTATTACTCTACGAAATTGTAGAAAAGTCCGTCTTATCAAGGTATGGATGACTACCCTTACCTTACGAGGCATGACTGTGGTGACTTTAACTGTGTATCGGACTATCGAAGTACTCGTCTGAAAGGGCTTAATTCCTCTGTGAGATCAACTTTTTACACCATTAGTGCTTATACGAAAATAAATCCTTACTGCGTCAGTTATTTCCACTTTGCAGCTCCGAAATCAGAAGAGGATATCCACGCTACATGTTGACAATGACTTTGATCCAAAGGGTAATCTTGGAGATGATTATCTTTGCGAATGTGAGGCTGTTCTTGATGTGAGTATTTATACCTTACCTTGTTTAATCATTTCCTTCCTTTTCTCCTAATCCTGTACAACTGTTGGGTGACTCGTGAAATGAATCTAAATTATGAGAAACTTGGTTAGCGTATTTTCTTTGTTAGCGAAGAGTTGCTTGGTTCTTTTAATTGGTAGATGTTCAGCTTGAAACGGACTCTGACTCGGGATGTTTCATATTGTATTAGTAGGTATTTCTCAAATTTTTTTTCCGAGGTAGTAGAGGGTAGTGAGTCTACAACTAATGTAACAAGCGATATGAGCAATGTCTTGCGTTATATAGCAAAAAGAGCTGAGATTACTTGGGTGATTTCAAGTGCTGTCGTTTTTTCCATACTTTAGCTTGCTTAATAGAAATTCTGCGGAGTTAGTTTTTGAATATTTTCTAGAAATTCCTGAACTGGAACGAGCATGAGCAACTCGATATTATGGAGCGGATCCTGAGTAAAATGAGCCACAATCAATTGTTTGTCATGCAGAGATTTATTCAGCCGATGTTACAACGTGACTTCATTGCTCTATTACCTCGTAAGGCTTTTTATACATTTATTCTTTGTCGATAGCGATGGTTCTCATTTGATTTATTTTTATTTACTCTAAACATGTAGTAAGCGCCATTAGCTCTCAAGACAGTAACCCGCGATGAGGTCGTGTGGAAAAATCTACTCTGTGGGGAGGATAGGGTTGCACCGAGTATTAAAGAAGTGCCGTTGTTGCGACTCGAACCCGCGCAACAAAAGCGTTAGGGCCTTACAAAGTGAGTTTATGTGGGTCAATAAACGAGGTTCTTTGCACACATCCTGTGACATGCAGCGTGGATTGCGACGTAGTGGCTAGTTCAAATACGTGGGGGTTGGTGAAGCCATGGAGCAAGCAAGTTCAAAAAACACATCCAAATAGCCCCTTCCTCATACCGAAGGAGAAGAGGGAATCTTTGTCAAAGGCTTCATCAGCAGTTCGTTTTTTTTGAGTCTACTGATTTTCAACGCCATCATCGTGGGCCGCTATATCCTCACCAATTGATTCAGGGCTGTTTTCTCAAGGAAAGAAACATGGGACGTGCGACGAAAACGTACCTGTTTCTCTTTTTTGACTTAGCATTACCGTGTGTTCGGGTTGTTTTCAATGTTTTTCACTTCATCATCAAAACTATATGATGTCGAGTTTCCTCCACTGGGCCCTATCTATGCTGCACTTAGCTAACAATAAGTCAAGGCCAGGTGTTGGGGTTGCGCACATGCCCGAAGTCATCATTAGCGTTACCCTCACTATCCCGCCAAGACTCGTAAGAATGAATGTGGACCTGTTTTTGTGAGCGCTTTACACTCATTATTCCTTTCCATTCACTATTTTGTGTTGTTGCAAAAATGTAAGCTGTTACTGAATTTTTTACTTTGTGCACAATGTAGAGATAAGCAGTATACCATTTTGCCTTTCTCACTGGCGTTACAAATATGCTGCCACTATTTTGATTGTTTTGTTTGTTAACTGCTGTTTTACGCCGCAGTTCGCGTTGCGAATGTTTCACAAGAATGCTGGGTTGTGAACAAAACTTTCGCCCAGGCGGGACTAGAACCCGCACCTCTCGCTTTCCGGGCAAGTGCGCTACCAGTTACGCTACCGGGGCACCATTTCATTCCAACTCAGCTTTTCATGGTATACGTACCATAGCTTTCAGCACTCACACGTCTAACGTGTTGAGCCGGTTAGCCGATATCGGCAATGACCGCGAGGCTGAAAGCTTTAGCAATTTTGACTTGTTTTGTTTGTTAACTGCTGTTTTAACGCCGCAGTTCGCGTTGCGAACTGTTTCATAAGAATACTGGATTCTACAAAACTACAGTTATTGTCAATATGGTCCATTTGTTTCAGAACATTTGGCTGAGATGATCCTATCTAATCTCGACGCGCGAACCCTGGCTGCTTGTGAAGCTGTCAGTACGAACTGGCGAAGCGTATTGGCAAGGGGTCAGTTGTGGCGCAAACTGATAGAACGTAATGTTCGTAAGGACAACATGTGGCGTGGTTTAAGCGAGAAGAAGAAGTGGTTAGTTTCCTTTCCCATTATTGTTGCGTTTTACTAAGCTGTGTCATTGGGAGAACGATTTCTGTGATGTGATATTTTACGATGTTGTATGTGTTAGCCATGATATATAACTGTTTTTTTTATGTTTGAATAACTGCTTCGGTTCATCTGATAAGTAAAACTCGCACAGTCACGCAAATAGAACGAGGATATGTGATTCGATGAGCTGAACTTACGGCGATGTGTTGACCTCTTTTGAAAAGGGAAAACATAATCGCGAAGTAAACCTTAGTCTCTTCAAAGCAGGGCACGCGTTAAGAGCAGTTCGGAGCATAATTAGTAAGAAATTTGCGTCGGAATAACTCATGCCCATGACTTGAATCCTGTGCTCGCTCGTGCTGCTAGTAGTGATCCGGATAACTTCAATTTCCAGCTAATACCAATCATTAAGGCGAAAGTACATCCTGGTCAGTAGAGATTGCGCTGCGTGCGCAATTTGCGACTACTATCGTGTGAAATACGAGCGATTGCGAGGTACTACGGAAATGGTCATGATGCAGCATCGGTTTTACAGGTGTGTTGCGTATAATTCACATTTATTTGTATTTGTTTTTGAAGGTGTTCCTCCATTGCTATTGAGACCCAAATACTTATTCTGTAGAAGAGAGTTCTTCTAAATTCTTTTGATGGAACCGGGCACTCATTTCATATAGACGTTTGTGAATTATCATGATTCAGGGAATTGTTCCCAAAAGTGGTTGCTGACATTGATAAAATTGAGTCTAACTGGCGCAAAGGAGTTTACAAGCTGAGCAGTATTAATTGTCGGTCAGAGAACAGTAAAGGTTTGAGATTTTATAGTTAATACATATAACTCTATACCATTCATTCTGTTACTCCAAGTCAGCGGAATTCAAAATTTCAGGTGTATACTGTTTACAATACGATGATGAAAAGATTGTGTCGGGATTGCGTGACAACGTCATCAAGGTTATTCAAGTTTTTCAGTTCCTATTTTCACAAGTTTTTTTTTCGACCACGCTTCCGTTTATATTATCGGTTCTGTTTCGGTTGTAAATTTAGAACTGTCTCTGTAACGATTATGACAACATGTAGCATAAGGGCTGAAGATTTTTAAGCTGAAACTTGCTCGGGTATTTGATCACGAGGCAGTCAGTGGTACAATTAACTTGCCAAGGAAGTGGCTTGAAATATAAGTGAAGCAGAGCTTCGCGGTTATGAAAGGACGTGTTTGTGTATTGCCGAGAAAGGCGCTAAGTTTCCTAAATTGAAGCAAAGAACTTAACTGAGCTGTTTCTTACGTCGTAATTTTTTCGTACGTGCTTTCACAAGTGGATCTGATTTTTCAGCGTTTGTTCTTTCTTTTTTCAACTTCTCAGTATTTCCAGGTTTGGAATCGAGCAGATTTGAGTTGTGAACGGGTACTGTCTGGTCATACGGGTTCCGTATTGTGTCTTCAATACGATGAAAGAGTAATTATATCGGGTAAGTTTCCCTTAGTGAGATCCGTTTTGTTGATTTGCTTAGTAAAGAAACGTCCCAGGTTCCTCTGACGCCACAGTCCGTGTTTGGGACGTCGCGACTGGAGAGTGTTTGAATACATTAATTCATCACTGTGAAGCCGTGCTTCACTTGAGATTTAACGATGGAATCATGGTTACCTGGTAAGTTTTCATTGTTGCTGTTATTTGAACCGATGCTAATGTACACTTATTGGGTTTTCACAAATGCTTCGGGAATTCACTTCCATGTTCTTTGGGAAGGCTTTATGGGTTCTATTGTAGCAAATTGTAACGGCCTATAGCCTGAGCATACGATGCTTTCTAGCAGTAGTTATGTTTTGTGATTACTAGGAAAGAGAGAACCATGTCTGGTTCCTGCTTATGGCACTTTACAAAGTGATTACGTCTTCTCTCGTTGAAAAGTTTTTCCACAGCTCAAAAGATCGCTCGATTGCGGTGTGGGATATGGTGTCACCGCGAGAAATCAATCTTCGACGGGTACTGGTTGGTCATCGCGCAGCGGTAAATGTCGTCGATTTCGATGATCGTTACATTGTCAGTGCATCCGGGGACCGAACCATCAAGGTAGTCAATTCATCACGTAAAAGTTTGCTTTCCCATATGCTAGTTGTTTTTAATCTCTCTTGCTTCCGTTTTCGATTTTGGTTATGATTTTGAACAGTGGGCACCAAACTTATGAGTCGGTTTTCGTCTGCTTCGTAGAGTAATTCAATCTTATGTTAGTTCTATTGAAATGTTCATTATCTGAATAATCTCATGAAATATTATTTCATGAGGTTATTCTGATAGTGAACATTCTCTCTGGTTTACAAGAATATTGGGTTATTAGCAAAACCTTCCGTTCTAAGCAGGAATCGGAGTCGCATATACACTTCAAGTTGGGTTCATGTAAAACGGCTGCCGGTGGGTAATCGGTAGTACATTGCTCGAAAAACGAGAGGTGGTAGAATGTCGTCCGGGGCGCAAGGTTTTGCCTATGACCTAGCATTCTCTCGAAGGTTTCGCACGGCAAAATAGCGTTCAATAATCGAAAAAATGTTTTTAGATGAATAGCTGTCGAAACCTGGAGTATAGATCGTGAACGTCAGCCGTCCATTATGTTTTTAGGTATGGTCTGCTGATAATCTGGAATTCGTCAGGACTCTTTCCGGTCACAAACGTGGCATAGCATGTTTACAATATCGAGGGAGGCTTGTCGTATCTGGATCAAGCGATAACTCCATCAGGTAGAGACCCTTTTTGTGAAACGAGTCTTGATTATGACATATCGCTGTTTAAGATTATGGGATATTCATTCTGGTGTTTGTTTGCGAGTGCTGGAAGGACACGAAGAGTTGGTGCGCTGTATTCGGTTCGATGACAAGCGCATTGTTTCCGGAGCCTACGATGGGTAAGTATTCTGAAGATATATTGACAGATGATGCAGAATTGGTTGTTTTTTGCTCAACATCAACATTTATTGTTCCTGCTTTAGTAAAATTCGTGTGTGGGATCTCGAAGCGGCGCTTGATCCTCGTTCATCGCCAAGCTCACTATGCCTTAGTACTCTTGTGGTAAGTCGTTGCATTGTTTGAGATTATCTTTCTTGTATTTAGATGTAATCCTAGAAAGCATAAACGTTTTTCTGCCTAATACGCTAATTTATGACGACTAAACCCTGTTTTCCGCTCCATAGCGTGTCGCTGTTGCCGACTTAGGGGCACACTCGGTGGCAGTTGGGTATACGGGTGCTCTTCGATGCTCTTGTTGCCGTTTGATGCCATTACGCTTTTGAAAAGTAAAAACAAACAATTGGTTGTCGTGGCCATCTGGAACAAGTTGTACATTTTTGTATGTATCTTGTCTCAACATTGATCTTAAATCTGCCTTCCATGCAGGGTTAGCTGCCTAGCCGGCCGATGATCTAGTCCTGGTCGTATTTGCGATTTTTGGGAAGGATTGTATAGGGATTGAAGAAGGTCGAAAAGTCGAAAGGGGACGTTTTTTGGATTTCGAAGTGATGTGGTTGCGGTGGAAGGGAGTTACCGTTGCTGATGTGTTTGGCCGTTCCGCAGAAAAGAGTGGGTCGAGATGGAGCGTGTCCATTGGTCCTGGAATCCAATATTATAGCATGCTTGGGTGGTGGTGGTGGGGTGGGGGAGGGGCGAAGATGGAATGGTAAAAAAATTCAAATGAGCCGAACGCCACGGTCGACCCTGCCTCCAAGTCTCGGTTTTTAGAACGGAGATATGGAGGCTTTCCTCGCGTTGTTCTGCTGTGCATATAAGACAGTCGGAGTGTCGAAGGGTCCTACGGCAACGGCACAGATGGTGCTGGCCCAGACTTATGTGCATATTTTCGAGGGATCGGTTCCTTGGGAAGTCTGCTGTTTTTTTGTAGGACTTGGTTGAAAACTTTCATTCTCCTTTCTTCCTCTTGCCTATATTTGCATGTATAACGAGTTTGCAAGCGACACCTACACGTTTGCGCACCACATATGTGCGACTGCATAGTGCCTGCAGCTGAGGTTACAGGAGTTTTTGCGCTAAATCATACTACCCTCAAGAGCCAAATGCTAACCCAATGTAAAGTTTCGCCCTATTCCAAAAAGGTGACATTCGTTGCTGTTGTCCTTCCCAGCCGGCAACCCTAGCGGTAACGTCCTATTCTATAAGTCTGTTCAAATTGAAGACATGCCCCGGATTAAGGTGCTATAGTTTTCAGTCGCTAATACGGAAACATTCGGGCCAAGCGGGCTGCAGTAAAGAAAATCCGCTAAAACGCTCAAGTGGAGGGTTTGATTAGTTATTTTATTCGGCTGTGCCAAGGCAATGAGAGGCTGAGTATGGAGACATAGGCTAGGGAGCACAAAGAATGGAGGGCGGCAGCCACCACTTGCTGCGGGAGACAAATTGAAGCGGTTTAAGTTGTCTTTGTAATCTTCGGTTGTAGCGCTTTTTAGAGCCGGGAAAAGAGAACATCTGCGATTACCGTGCAAGTACGATCCTACGACGTCTTGTCTGTGATCGCTGTGCTCATTCGCCTCATAATTCTGTTTTGAGAATTGATTAGCAGATATGTATAGCAGTCTAATAGTGGTATACATGCCCTCTTCAGTGACCTTGGAGCTCTGTTATCCTTTGCTTGTAAGTCCGCAATCGCCAGGTCTCGGCGATCCCCTACGTTGAGCAGCGAGAAGTCAACATCTGAGAGCAGAATAGAAAACTTTGGGGGATCTGGGTAACGATGAACAAATCTTTCTCTGTTTCTTCATGCATCACTCAACATTATGGCAAATCGAAATAATCTGAATTGGTCGAATTCATATAAACTCTTCTTTCAGCAACACACGGGCCGCGTGTTTCGTCTGCAGTTCGATGATTTTCAAATTGTCAGCAGTTCTCATGACGACACTATCCTCATCTGGGACTTCCTTGTTGAACCGGATGTGCCGCCATCACCTCCGACCACTTCCACTGATCCGCTATTGGAGCCTTCATTGGGCTCGGCGGCAATTCCTTCAAGCTCTACCGAACGAACTACTGCTACTACTGACGGTACCAGTCCTCCAGGGAGCCCTAAGCTACCGATGCATTCTTATCCCGGTCCGAGCACCTCTTATGGGGCTTTGTTTGAGCCCTACATGGATAATGATGCAGTTGGAGCGGCGCTACGACAATATGAAGCGAACCTGCCAACAGTAAGTTTCCAAAATTGTTCGCTCAGTTCATCACTTAAAGGTTAACTCCATTTTGGAAAAGGGTATAAATTTCATAAGCCATTCGATCATTCCAATTTGACGCTAGTGTACAAAGGGGAGGATTGGCATCGCGACGCAGTGATCAATCCCAGCAACAAAATCCATTTTTTCCGCAGGGTTGGGAAGTTCAAAGAGTGTTTAGGCCATCTTGCTCGTGCAGGAAGGGAGTAAGTGGGTCTTTTAAAATGGGCATGTTTGCTGTGGTTTCAGAAGCAACCGCTGTTCTGCGAAGTGGTTCCCTATTAATACACTAGCTGTCAAGGTCACGTTCCACGAGTAGGTAAGCGTGGTTATCGCCAAGTAAAAGCGTAGAGGTGCGAAGTAGATCGTCAGTTACAAGAAGGGAATGGTGATAGCAGAAAACATTATAAGATTGTCTCCTTCTATGCAGTGTGCTAGACTATTATAGACATTTAACAGACACCGCGCTTTATGGCTACCTTTATTTTAATGGCAATAACGACGCCTAGCTACGAAGGTGCCTTTGAACAAGCAATGATTACTACCATTTTTTAGCAATGTATGTGGATGATCTTTGTGACAAAAGTCTCAATTGCATTTGCTCTTGGAATTGGATCATGTCTGCGTTCATACTTCTGCCTGGCCCACTTGCGAAGTCTTGCGTCCTTTTAGGAGCTAACTTTCCAATATTAACGTGTCGACGTTCGCCATCAAAAAAACGGTCTGATGTTTTGGTGTCGGCTCCGTAGTTTCAGGACCTCAGTGGGATTAACATGACATCTTTGAATTACAAGTTGTGGATTTTAGGGCTAACTTTGAGGCATAAGTTATTTCCTGCACTAATTTGCTTGCAACCATTTCATTGAAGTGCTTTCATCAAAAATTGATCTTTTATTTGCTTGAAGTAGCAACCCCAGATCAAATTGATGGGTTAACAGCGGTCGATAATGAAATTGTCGATATCGATGGACTGAAAATAAAAAAGAGCAAAAGACCGATAAAGCCCTCAACAAAGGCTCCTTCTCTTCTTCTTGAAATTTGGTAGGGGTGCGAGTCGAGTTGTCCGAATATGATTGTTCCATGGCTCCGTGTGTATTTGAATTATCCTCTTCGTTATAATCCACGTAGCTTGTCATTGGGTTTGCGCGAAGCATATCGTCCATTAGCTCACAGTGGCCACTCTTTATGAATCCCTAGCACCATTGTCGCTCACCATCGCTGCGACAACGGCGCATCTGTGACACCTGCGGGGTATTCTATCCTACCCACAGTATGGACTGTTCGATACGACCTCCTCTTGGGTGTTGCTCAAAGCTATTATGAAAATATCGATCATTAAAATTATAAAATTAATTTTTGTCAATACAGTTTTCCGATATGATTATCATATTTAAGAGATTTTTTCTACAGTGATATGAGCGCATGAGCATAACTTTTCAAGATTCTGTTTGAGTTGATCTCGTTGTTTCAGAGCTCTGGCGCGGCGAACGGTGTTGTAGAGCAACCAAACGAACCAATACAAGTCGACTCATCATCGGATGACGAGGAGGCATTAGAAGTTGTTGCAGGTGCAGGAAATCGGCAGGTTGGCCGAGCTCCACCTGCTAGTCCTGAACCATATGGCAGAGGTGTATGATTTGGTGCTAAATCTCGTGAGTTGGATTTCTTTTCATGGTGCCTTACAATCTTTTTGAGCAGTTGTCCTAGTTTTAGTCGAAGAAATCTGAAAAAAAAAATTCGAGAAAGACCTACTGAGCGACAACAGAGTGTGGATTTTTAGACTGCCACACGCAAAGGAATTGCCTCAATTTTCATACTAGATGCAAAATCAAGTGTAGAACACGATACACAACATAACTTTTTGCCATCAGAAATCAGAGAATAGAAGAATCCGATATTAAAAGAAACATGGCGCGTCGAAAGTTTGAAAACTACATATCAGAGCGAGTTTAGCATAACTCAGGGGTACACATAAGCACTAAGTAATTCGTTACTTAACTGATAATTCGCATTGTTTTAATTGCAGTGGGTAGTTTGAGCATTATTTGTATACTCCGAAGTGGGAGCCCACAGTTTGCTTACGTGATGAATGCTTTCGAGGGAATTTGCCGGAATTTGGATGTTGCGACATTATAGCCTTCCATAGGGTGCACAACTCAAAGTTGAGATTTTGACAGTAATATCGGATCTTTGTACAGGAAACAATTTTTGTGTTCTGGCGAGCATAAAACATTTCATTCCATACATACCTTGTTTTGATCAACTCAGGGATGCTGTGAGACTTGAAATCGGTGATGGTTTGACACATCTTCATCTATGTTACCTCTCTCTCCTTTTCTTGTGTACAGTGTCCCAAAATTATGGGCGCCTACATATACACTGCAACATATTTTAGATATATAACGAACAGAAATGCGACTCTCCTATTTAGGTTGCCCCATAAGTCGTCCCTTTTTCACCTCTGCCAAACTACAATTTAGACGATATAGCGGCGATCGCGAACAAGCGATGAGCGACTCGCGATCGCTCCAGTCGTCGGCTCGTCTGCTTGCCAATTCGCGCGGAGGGTGTCGAGTGTGATCTCGTGATGGAGAGATTTGTGCTAAGCCGATTGCGCAATCGCTTGTCTAAGCACAAGCGGACGGCGATGGCTATCCAACTTACCGCAGCCAGACTCCCGCATGACTGGGGGCAGGAAGGGCCGCAATCTCCCGCGCTGGCACAATATGCTCGCAAATTAGCGGCCACGTCTTGGCTACGAGCGCTTGGCAAGGAGAGACAGCGACTGGAGCGAATCGCGATCAGATAATGCATTGTTCAGTCTTCGTCGACGTATGACGTCGCGTCTTAGCCATTTCTGAACTGACCAAAGTACAGGGTCAGCCTCAAAATTACGCAACGCAATGACAAAAGTGCTTGATTCATATTAGTGACACGCTGATATACGATGCTGTTTTATTCTGTCCAAGTTTTGTTACTTGTTGGCTGTAGAATTGTTATGTTACCTGTTCAACCACCAAAAGCTTATGGAGCTGACGAGTGCTGCTTTACTCAACGTTCCGGAACATTGGAGCGACGGTGTGGCGGTTCTGCGAGCTCGACACGAAGGGAGCAGCGTTCGGGGGTATCCGATCCACATCAAGTGGAATTTGCTCATACTCTGGTACAGAGCCGAAAGAGCGCAGGCAGCTTTCCTCGGAGGAGAAGGGACGGGTGTGCCGTAGAAGCAATCTTAAGGAGTTGGTGCAGAGAATGTAGCAGGTGTACGTGACGCGGCTGGTTTGCACATGTAATGTCTCACGAATCGAGATATAACGAGGAATCAGGGGTGGATCTCTTTCGGATCGCTTACCAGGTCGCCATGACATTTCGGTAGTTGTAATTTTTCCGGAAAATCGCTTGCTGGGGCCGTCCAGCATAGAGCTCTCCTTCACGAGGCCATGGGTCTGCTGTTTCTGATACTAGTGCATGCACTGATGGCCAGAACCCGATATGTTTCGACTTGTCGGGATTATATCTCGGTTGGTGAACAGCATTTCAGATCTGAGCTCGATAGGGTACGCTGTCGGATCCGTTCTAGAAGCTGAGGCTTGCATAAAACACATTATGTCTAGGGATTCGTTGAAGAAACCGCTCTAAAATGAGCTTGACGAGTCCTACTCGCCACATTGCGTGCCACAGTCGATGGTTCCTCGATGTTTCTGAGGACCCGTATAAACACAAACCAAGGAATTTCAAAAATTGCATGGATGTCGACGATTCAGAATGGGACTGTGCACGTCACTGCATTTTTGTTTTCAAAGAATTGCACCTTGCTCATCCCTAGGCAACTCGAAGTCGCTGTCTCCGTAATTTGCACACCTTTTCTAAAACTTACGAAAGCCAATTCGTGGACGCTCGTTCACCCCTCCACCAGAGTCAACCCTGCGTTGCGCAGTTCGCAACGGCACGTTGAGAGATCCTCAACGCACGCTGTATGGGCGGAGACGCAGACGGCTCGAGCATGCGAGTGTGAATGTTCGCGCGAGAGAACGTGTCTAATCGGGCGAAACTGCGCAACGTGGCCGTTGAGAACTGCGCAACGCAGGGTTGACTCTGCTTAACTGCTTTCTTTTGAACATAAAAAAAAAAACGAAGAGACAAACCGCAAACGAAGAGACCATGTTTTCACACTCTTGGTTAGGGTTCTCCTTGAGCTAAATCGGGTCGAGCCTAGATACATCTGACTTACCAGCGAAGTCTTCCAAGATATGCCCTCATGCTTTCCAGAAACGTTTTGATATTTAGAGGTACGTACGTGAAGACACAGACTCGTGCGATTCATTCCAGCTGAGCGACGCCTGTAATTCCAAAAAAAAAACAACACGTAACTAGTATATTTTGACTGAATTGCTGTCTTTAACTTCGTGCCACCCACTTTCAGTAGCCAAGCTTTACGTAGTATAAGCGCTCGCGTGCTGGTCCAATAATTTTAATATGAACATGAGCTTGCGCTATGCTGACGCTATTTTCGCGGAGATTTTCGATAAGCGCCAACACAAACTGCAAAAATTTCCTCGAGGGTTTGAACCTCATCGTGACCACGGCATCATCGCTTTTAGTATTCAGAGGGCCGCTTAAAAAATGAACCACAGTGTCCGCGCTGTACCAGACACAGACTCCTATCATACAAAAAACGTGCGAGAAAGCGGGCGGCATTTTTCTTAAAGACCTTCCTCGTGTAGTCGATTACACCTCTTCGTCGTCGTTCTCCATGAGTGACAAGTACGATCTTCTGTCGAGGATTCCCTCGAGCGATATTATATCTGGTCCAGACTGCCCACTACGGGACTCTGTTGGGCCTTCCTCCTCATAAAGCTCAACAACAGCTTCTTGTTGAGACCTTCCATAATATTCGTCAAATCTTGACCGATGTGAGCAGCTTTTCGGTTTCTGTTCGGTTGAGAGGAAAACTCGAGGAAGTCCTCCCATCGTTGAAGATGTCGGAAAATGCGATGAGCTGACCACTTCGAGGTTTCAAAATTTTCTTATGATAAGAATAAGTTTTTGCCATGTGGTATTTGCCGAGGCTACGGGCTGTATAATTATTGCGGTCAGTAGGTCAAGTAAGTTGCGTTTGATTGGTCGTTTTTGATGAAGGAAGGTAGTAGGAGGGCAGGCGACTGCAGAATCATCATTTTTTGCGGTACCCCTTTACCGACTTTTCCGGACTTTTCTACCTATCCATTGCGACTTAAAACCACAAATCCATAATGCATAATTCAGTAGCGGCCTTCTCAATTGTAAGCACATTTGGCTCCTACCAAATGTTTCAGCTTTTTTTTGATATGTTCTATATCCAACGACCATACTCACCATCTTCGAGGCTTCAACATCCCTACACAAGGTTTCCAAGCTATCGCTGCACAGTGAAATTTCCGTAAATGTGAGAGCAAACTAATAGTCCATATCATGTGCTGATTCCGCTCCTTCCTCTTCGAATTCGTATTAGAAGAAAAAAATCGTGCGAATCGCTTGTTAAGCATGTTGTATTCAGATTGTTCAAAAAAAGGGAGCCGCAGTTCTTCAGCAAAGCTGAGAATACACAGGAATAGAGCAAAGTCACGGTTTCTAACACTATGCAATATGTGGCAGTCCACCGAAATTTAATGCCTCGAAAGTTGAGCTACCAAAAAAGTCAAGAACTTCTCTCACCTAGTGTTTGTCATTGTTTGCTGTGCTAAAGAAGAAAAACAATTTTGTTCATAAATGCGCGAAGACTTCCGACAACCTAATGGTTAGCTTGACCTAGCTTTCCTTGTGGAGGTAACTAATCCGATTTACTTTTAGTCAACAGATTGAGGAGAATTCGATGAGTAACATTCTATCTCTGTTGCTCTCATTTTCTCCCGCCTTGTATCGAAAATTTGTAGCCTTACACAGTGCGTTTCATAGTTATAAGCTCACTCGAAAACTTTGCATTTCCGGAGTAGATTTCCGTGGCCTACTAGAAGCTACGTTTCAAAGCTCTCCTTTGTCGATTCCGTTCGATTGCTTTCAATGACCGCCTGTTTCAGAATTTCTGTGCTTTGTAAGTAACGGTTATTCGCATAAGCCTTTTTGGCGATGATGCCCTAGACGTTCTCCATCGGATGGACATCCGGACTGCAGGCTGGCCACTGCTGGCTCATGTTTTGGAATGCGACCAATCTTTTGCTGAGGGACTCACGTGGACGGCGGTTTTTTTTTGCTGAAAGACGTGGTTCAGGCATGGAAAAGGATCTGGATCCCACAGGAGGCACTGTTTGGAAACTGCCTTCAAAATTTTTCTCGAATCGTTGATAGTAAATGCACGTGAGTGTGCAAAAGTAGTAGAACACCTGGAGACTGGTAGCACTTCAAACATCCTTGGAATGAGCGAGAAGTTTTCCGATATATTTCGCAACCACTTTTGTGTCGAGCCCAGCACGTTGAAATGAATCTCGGCCCTTCTTCAAAAGGCCACCACGAAACATTACGAAAATGAAGTCCAAAGATTTGATAGTGACAGATATTCACTTCTGTGAGCACCTTCTGTTGACCCTCTTGAGATATTGTTCATTTTGTCAGAGTGAGCTTTTAATTATGGAACGGTGCAAAAACCAATAAACTCTTATACAAAGGTTCAAAAAGCTGCTGCCAAAAATCGGATCCGAGGCTTATTTGTGCTAACAATAAGGAATCCGTTGATGATGCTAGGAAAATTCCTAAATGGCTGCTTTTCCTGGAAATGCAAGGTTTGAGGGTGAGCTTATAATTATGAAACGGTGCAAAAACCAATAAACTCTTATACAAAGGT